TTCTTACATAAACGAATTTAATTTTAGGAAATGAAAATATTTAAAAAATCCAAGTAAACTCTAAACAATCTAGTAAAAATAAATTTTAGTAGATTTCATTAACTAGTATAAGAAATATTTACAATATTTATTAAAAGCTCTCTTTTCTTTGGTAAGCCCCTATAATATGTTCTCTGTGAAAACAATAACCGGTGCATGCATGATAATGTCTAGTTCTTCCGTCAACGAACCACCGCATGATAAGGAGGAGAAGGTCGTGTCTATCTCTCCGTTGTGTCCATTATCATCGTTGCCATACGAGGTGGCTCTAAGCTGCCTGGCTCGACTCTCAAGATCCGACCACGTAGCTTTATCTCTGGTCTCAAAGAGATACCACTCTCTCGTACTTTCCCTTGAGTTCTACAATATCCGATCCCTAATGGGTCGCACCGAGAAGTACCTCTACGAATGCTTACGTACGCACTACGACTCAATCCCACGATGGTACATCCTCCGCCGTGAAAAACCTAACTCTCGGCTGATTCCGTACCTTTGTTCCCCTCTCATCGTTTCCAACTTTCATCCGTCGTGGTTCTAGATTGGGGGATCTATGTAATCGGTGGAAAAGACCCCAAGTGCACTTCAGCCACTTCAGATGTCTTGCTCTTGGATTGTCGTAATAACACGTGCGACATGTCCCTTCCATGAGAGTTTCTCGAGCTAACCCGCTGCTGGCGTCATAAACGGGAAGATATACGTGTTTGGAGGGTATCGCGTGGACCATAACTCATCGAGGTGGGGAGAGGTTTTCGACCCAAAGACTAAAACTTGGGATGATTTGTCGCCTTTGCCGGATAAAAACCGAGTCGATGGTTTCATGCCTAGTGATCGATGAGAAGGTTTACGCGGTGAAAAACATGAAAAGAAGCGTTTATTACTCCCCCAATGAAGGTAAATGGGGAAGAAAAGACCAGGATTCTTCTTCGAATCTAGGAATTGTAAGTCATTGTTGTATAAATGATAAATTTTTATACGCTTGTGATAGCTTCGGGAATATCTTCTGGCGCAAGTTAGATGACTTGGAGTGGAAGAAAGTTAAGGGTTTGGAGGATCTACGAAAACTTTTTCCTAGGTCGGATGCTTACTATGTTGGAGGGATTCCATCGTATGATATGTTGTCCAGATGTTACAGCAAACTGATAAATTTCGGTGTGAACATTGTGCTCGTTTGGTTTAAGTATAAGAAAATGGATATTTGGTGTGCTGAGATTTCGTTCGAAAGACGCGAGGTGAAATGTGAGGTTTGGGGCACAGTTTAGTGGTCAGAAGTTGTTGTAGCACCTGATCATGATACCTATAACTTTGAGGTTTTGTATTCTGCTTCTGTCAATGTCTAGACTAGTTAAATTAGAACATCGTGCTATGTGTTATATTTGGGGGAAATTTCATGCCATTTCCTTTGGTAGCATCCTAGTTTTGAATGATTTCGTATGGCTATAGCCAATGTTTTGTATTTCTTAAAAATCATTTTTCTATGGTTGTAACTATTGACTATAACCTTGTTTAAAGTCTTTGCAACTATATAAATATACATCATCTCTTTGCTTTAGTGAATTAATATATTGGTTCGTAAAATTTCTCACTTTTATATAAAGTGTCGTCGTTTTGATAAAAAAAAAAAGAAGGGAAAAACCAATTGCTTACATAAGCCGGACCGAGCCTTATATAAGCTGTCTCCTACAACGGGTCTTTGTTATCGTAATCGAATATTTTTTGTAATTACTATACTTATTTACAATTTTCAGTATTTGTTGCTTGTTAGTTGTATCATCCGTTTTTGTACAAAATTTTGAAGTATTCTAAATTTCTAATCACTCTAGTGGTTTTTGTTTACAATTGATTAATCGTAAATCTATTTTTCTTTTCGGAAACACTAAAAAAATAATGAAATCAATGATGATGTACGAAATGATGTCTTACTAAAAAGTTTCATAGTATTATTATAATTACACTCTTTTGTACAATTTTTGTTTATATAAAGATTCGACCTTCCCCGAGTAGAGCTCGACAATGTTGATATAATTAATTAATCCAAAATCATGTAAAAGATTGTGTAACTTATAATACTTAAGTGATTATTTTAAAAATAAAGCTAGCTACTTATGTAACCATTTTCCTTAAAAAATAAAGTTACAAGGAATTAGAGAACATAATCAAAACAAAGGAAAATTATCATAGCTTTAAATAAACGTTTTAAATCTATAAAAATTTTGATGAGTGAACTAATCAACGACTACATTCATCTTAGAAAATTTAGTCGCGTTTTGCTTTTATCAAAATTTTGTTGTAATGTAAATTATATCAAATATTTAATTATTTAGAAGATCACATCAGCTAATTAAATGTTTCCAATTAAGAGTACTAGAACATAAATAGAATATAAATCACGCGCGAATTTTTAGTTTACATTTCTAAAAAATTTAACGACAAATAGTGA